AAAGAAATATTATATACATATTGTACGACTTCTGTTTGTTAAGCTATACAGGTATCTCTATGTAGAGGTAACCTCTGTGTTCACATGGTTTTTTTTAAAAAACTTTTTCATACGAGTTGTGTCGACTATTCGGATCAAAATAATAGTCTACATAATTCACGACCCACGTCGTCACGCATAAAATATAATATTGTATTTCTCTATATTTTTTTTCGTTTATCCATAAGTCTATCGCCTGTGGAGCATATAGGGRGTCTATGTATAGTACAGTTTATATACATGATATGCATATTATATTTAAAAAAATATCGGAGAAAAACTTCAGTCTTAAACTCAYCGGATCGACGGAAGATGATGAACGTAATCGTATCACATGCACGTTTTCTCGTTTTGAAATTTTGAACGCTGCAGCGGTAATATTATAATATTAAATATTCGTCGTGCTCCGTTCGCAATCGAAATCTTCTGTATCGCCATTTATAGGGCATTGTATTGTTATGAACTTATGACTTATGTATAAATAATTCGAGTTATTCGTCTAAAATACTTTTCTATRATATCATAGAACACGGTGAAAATCGTAACTATATATGTAGCTCGTAAATTGTATACGTATTTTTATACGACCAATTGAGAATGCAATAAAACAACCACARAAATTGATATAATAATAAGTTATTATACTTTTGATGGTGACCTGTGTCTTTAAATTGTATCGCAATAAGTCAACGATAATGCTCTGTTTGCAAAAACGGTCGAGTAACTCAATAGTTGTTATGATATACCTATATACAATAWGTGTAATAGATTAGACTGATTTTTGGAAAAACTTTTGTTCATATTAATAGTTTTTATACTACTTTTGCACTAAAAATAAAAAATAAATTCAATTTAATTTAATTTTTTTTTTGGATAAATTCGAAATAGCCTATTTGTGAATCTGATTATAAAAACAATTTTTATGGTAAAAATATTTATCTAAGCCAATTAGTTGTTTTTTTAGAATTTTTTTAAAATTCAATATTTTTTGTGTTAAATTAATTTGGAACGTAATAACTTTTTTAAAAATAAGATTTTTGAGAATTTGCTGGCATGAGTACACCTATACCTATACCTATTTCTTAAATTATTTATTTACCATATAATATTAACAATTTTTTTCATACGTTTATAATATTGACATATTTTTATTTTTTTGTCAGGTCTTTCTGTTATACCCTGACTCTATATAATAGGTGTGGTGACATTTTTTTGGGTCGAGCTCTACATTTTCTCAATCAAGGTTTTGAAAATGTTCACGTTCCCAAAGTCGTAAATACCAAATAGTACAATGTAACTGTATTTATAATATAGTAACATAATACATTCTACATGAGATTATTATAATTTTATAAATAGCGTAGTTTTTATAATTTTWATTTTTCACGTGCCATGATTCGCCCACTCTGTTATATAACAGTTTTCTGTTCTTTCTAATTATAAAATCAACAAAACTACGAAATATCTTATAATTATCGGTTTTTAAGAATATTTATGATTCTTGCATATCATGATGTCTCCAGTATCATCCTCCATCACAAATTGTAGGCTCGGACCCAAAACCGTTTGTGCTTCGTGTAGTTAGTACAGGTTTTTTTTTTATCCCTTATAGAGCTCCACCTCCCTAAGAAGCATAGGCGTGCGCAGACTTCGTTTGCAGAGTATGCGGCTAATTCGATTTATATAGGCGTACGAGTATATGGTAGAGTTATACAAAATATTATATGCATATATAACTATATACATCATTGCAGGTAATGCATGATTACATTAAATATATTTCACATATTATTCTATACAAACACTAACATCGTTGCAAGTATAAACAGTTCTAAAAACATATTTCATTAGATTGATATTGGATTTATTGTTTACAGAACTTTTATCTTGGCTGGAAGGGATCAGTTAAATAAACCTAACTTGTATGTAAAAATTGGAGTTTAAAACGAAATTTCAAATTTTCATTAGGTACTTGGTGTTATGCAGAATAGAACAAAAATTGTGTATACATTATATTCAGTGGCGYATTTAAGGCTTTTCCGCCTATAGGCACTTTCCAATTCGCCGCCTTCCTCCCCCCTCTCATCCTTGCTACAATTTAATTTTCAAATTAATTACTAGGTACATACAATAAAATTCTGTTTTTATTATAAGAAATCGAACCCGCATCGAATGCGCGTGTTTTGTTATCTATGTGCATGTTCGGACTGAAAGATGATTAATTTTGAGCGAACAAAAATTAGTTGAATTTGATTTCATCAAATGAAAAATACTTTTTATAATTTTGTGAAAAAAATCGTTGAAATTTGCCGCCCTTCAATGTTGCCGCTCTAGGCCCTGGCCTATAGGGCCTGTGCCTAAATACGCCTCTGATTATATTTTAATAATATATAATTTATTTCAATAAATCATAAATGATAAATTRATAAACGATTATTAACCGCGGGGTACATAACTTTAAGGAGTTATGAGTAGGTTGCAAATATTCTGAATATTCAAGAATCTGAAAATTTTTGTTAGGAATTATTATCGATTATACTTWTAAAATATTTCCCACTGTTAAGTCTAGCATTATTGTTAATTTGTTACCTGCTGTTTTACTTTTAGTGATAGGCTGCTGGGTGTATTATTTGTACCTAATGATTTTCATCATTGCGTTAAATATAGGAACCTATAATGCTCCGTAACATCGATTTTATAAAAAAAAAATTGGATTTTTTTATTATTTTCCATCAGTAAAAAAAAACTGATGAGATATTTCCAAATATCTTATTTACTATAAATAGTAAGTTWAAAAAATAATAACCATAAAAAATTGTAATAAAAAATGATTTTTCATAAATCTAGTTTTGTGACGACTTGAGATTATGTAAATAAATATTTTCAAAAACGTTAGGGTATCGTGAAATTATGAGTAATGTTAAACAGATCACTCTGTATACTCGTATTATCCACATACATCATCATATATTATCATCATTCGCTATTCGTATAGAACTCACAACTAAATAAACATGTTGGTAAACCTATTACCACAGATTTTGTCAAACATATCGTATTATATAATTAATATACAGGTACCTACTATTCAAGCTTGTGATGAGTTATAAGATGGTATARGTCGTGTTTGAAAATAAATATAAAATATACAAATTATACGCACGCTATGACGGTAAACACAGACATAAAAAGAAATATTTTACTGTTATAGGATGTAATATTATTGTAATCGTTATTATACTTATTTAGTTATTACTGTTATATMAATTATGATCGATGATGTACCGGGTATTATAAATACCTATATGTAGTTCCTGAGTGTAAATAAGATTTCGTAGACTTTGAACAAAATAAATTAATTGAAAAAAAAAAATGTTTAAAAATAATCAATCCGTCGCGTGAATTTAGTAGGTAAAAGAAAATTAATATTGGTTGTATTAAAAAAAAATAACTCTAATAACTGAACAACCATTACGATAAATCCAATAATAATCAACACATTTTTTTGGATGATTTTTAAAGTTGATATTACTCCGCTAAGTTCACGCGGATATTATAGAATATATTGATACTAATCGATCGGTTGTAGCGTTTATAAATGCATATTATATGCATTTTTTGCAAGCGTATATTTCAAAAATGTCTTATTGTTTATGTATTTTAGGTGATTTTAAAAAGTATTAAAATGAAAATTGGGATTGTCATTCTCAAGTAAACTTCAAAAGAAATTCGAAAATGTTATCGCTTTGTTTATTAATCCGATCGGTATGGCGGACACAGTATGGTATGTTTATGGTAGTTTGGTACAAATTTTAATGACCATTTGCAAAATCATTAAGAAGCATGACTATAATGATATACCTATGTGTACATCCCTTTTTCACCGTACCGTATTCGTCAATGGTTTCGTTCAGGCTAATAAAATACTTAACCGCCGTTGTATTCATCAAATATATAACTTCATCACAGCTGGTCATTATTATTATTATGCTTTCATTTCACACTATAATAGTCCATAGTTGAAAACGTTTGCAACTATAGCTGATATTCGTTTATGTTTAAAATATTTAGTATATATAGGTTGATTACTACTTATATATGAAGGTACCAATACGAATTATTTAAAGTTTGTGATTTTTGACCCTCTGCAGGTGGTGGGAGGATTTGCACGTTTTCGCCATGCATTGAACAAGTGATGCGCACGTGTCAGACGCTGCTGGACCATGGTTTCGTCCAACTGAAGACGGTCGAGTGTCTGGAAAAAGAATATCAAGTGCTGAACAGGACCGTGACCACGTTCGCCACTGCCAGTAGACCGCCGTCCGCTTCGGGACCGCAGGTGTGCATTACGTATAATATTATAACATAAATACGACATGTCGATATATAGGTATATGTCTAATGTACCTATATATAATTCGCTCGCACGTGCGACTTGCAATAGTATAATATTTATCTCCTGCAACTCTCTCACTCTATACATATAAACATATGCATATAAATWTCATTATTATTATGAAAAGTATAAGCTTATAGCGTGCGTATATATATGTTTATATAATGTTCAATACTTGATGGTCGATAATGATATTATATCGAGATGTATACCTATATATAACGTATAGACGATCATCGTCAGCAGAATAGATATTATGACGACGAAATAATATATATATATATATATAATATACAAGGATAGGAAAACAAAATAGGTGCACACATACACTTACGCAAAGCGAGGGCGTACACACACGGGCACACGACGGAACCGGTACCTATATATATATATGTTTAATACATATATAATATGTGCCTATATATGCGCCGGACCGGTCGCGCGAGTAATTTGTTTTCGACAAATACACGTACGCGCACAGCAGAACTGGTCCACGTCAAACGTTATAATTTTTTATCGGGACCACCTCGTTTTTGTTTCTCTGCCGGAGCCTATATGGGGAATTGTTGAGATTCCTATGCGTCCGACGTGATGGCAGCGGCCATCATATCACCAGCTATACAGCTAGCTGCAGTGTATGGTCTGACGTTATAATATCGTATATTATTTTATATACTGTGGCTAATTGTTCTTATAATAATCCAGTCGACTATATATATATATATATATATTTATTCGACGCTATATTGTATGTGTAATTTATGGTTGTGACCTTGGTTAGTGGTGGTGATATAGTTGAGGGAGGGGTACTGTGGTGCGTCATAAGGACATCGATTTCTATGCAAAGACGACTATATATAATAGGGTTGAAATTATGATATCATTGTTATAAGCTATATAGTCTATATATAGATATTGACTTGCGATATATAAACGGTAAAATTGAATTGTGCAGTACCTACCCTTCTAAAATTGCAACCACTTGTCGGCGGTTCATCCCTCGTGTGAACGCAAACCGGATTCGAAATCTAATCCGCAGATTTGTTTTGATTTTAAAAACTATGTAGTAATTTATAATACTGTTCTGTTCTCACGACATTATAGTTTGATACGCACAATCGGATTTTGAACTTATCTCCTCGAAGATTGCGAGTCAAATTCTTTTCGGAATTCGATTATAGTTTCACGCACCGTAGCATATACCATTCGTATACTTCGGTACTTATTCCCTCGCGCCTACCCTCCTATATATAGCTGCGGTGAGTTGATCGTGCGAAAAATATTGAGGAAACCGTGAGCTCACCTCCCCGCGGCCACTACTGTAGCTGACTGTAACGGACCAAAAATAGCCGCGGTCGCACGAGGCGAAAATAGTGTATGTGTCAGTGCGTTAAAGTCTCTCGGCAATATACACACATTTCTATATCGATCCCAGACGCATGCTGTTGAATTTTTTCTTTTATAGTTTTAACTGCCAACTGGTATTTCTTATATCGGCGTTAACATCATCACATGGTACTATATTATAGTATATATCATATATATATACGATAATTATATTATTATTATTATAATTATTATATAGCAGCTACGACCGGATAACTCTCTCTCGCGCGCGCGCGCTGTGTCCCGATGTCAGTAATACACCGTACAAATACGATAAATCGTATAACAACGCGAGCGCGATCCTCGTCGCGATCTATTACCGCCCAGTTTTTGGTTTTGACATTATATACCTCGCACGTATATCTTTCGCTCTCGCTAGTACACGGACCTGCGGCATTTTGTATGTATATCATCATATATAGATATATAATATATCTGTCTGAGTGTGATCGAGTATATATTTGTTAATCGTTGGACGATATAATCCTATATTACAAAACTTATATTTATAAATTATACACGTATTATAATATAGGTATGTGATATATACAGCGAAAAAACCACGTACAATAGGCCATATTGAGATTTTTTCTTATCGATAATTCAAGTATATAATAATATATTTATATGTATACATGTATATATATATTATATATATATATATATTATATATATATATATATATATATATATATAATATATATATATATATATTATATATATATATATATATATATATAATAAATATTTATATATTATAAAGCCGCATATAATAAATGGTATACAGTAAAAAGTTAAATATTTTAGACTGATATTTAAAAAGAAAACTTTTTTTTCCAATATTTTGTTATATTAATACATTATCATTTATAGGAACGTAAATGTGTTTTAGGTAATAGTGGTAATAATACACTATAAATTATAGTCTATAATATATTGCACTATTTAACTATCAGACATCATGTATAGGTAAACTGCATTTAGTTTGTGCGTATATTTGCTCATAGCGGAATGAAATTTTTAGCGGTCTCAGACAACGTCACATTTGACATTTTACTCTTCTTTAAACATATTATATATCCTTCAGTATATAGTATATACCTACAATATTATACCCACGTATATATTTCTAAATAATTATTGGAGTTTATGCATTCCAAAAAACTTTACTCGGCATATTATTATAAATGTATGAGGAAGACAATGTTTTTTTTTTTATGAAAAGATTAATGTATTACCAAAAAAAAATAAAAATTCAATAGGTCATTATCTCTATAGAGTAATGCACTCAGCGCGTATATTGGAAATATTTTCTAAATCCGATCGAGTAATTATTGTTTTTAACGTGTCATCAGTACCACTTTACTGAGATACAATAAGTATTCATTCGATAACAATATAATAAATTATATAGGCAACAAGTTTGTGACGTACTTTGGTAATCACCAAATACGCATTTACCGTTATTATACATTAAAAACCGTCATCAATTGACGGCCGTCCAAGCGGATGGCATTATACGGTACAACATAAAATACTAATAGTAGTCGTTTTCAATAATATCCTTACATTGTTTTTGGTAAACCGTATAAACGTGTATTGTACGCAAACCGTCCAAATAATCAATTTATGTTTCGTTTTTTTTTTTTTTTCATATATACCTACTTATATTTTTTAATGATTCAATTATGAAGACAAAAGAAATAATAATCAATGGTGCAGGCGCGTAATACCTGTGTATCGCGTGTRCAGTAATACAATGACGTTTATTTCGTATTTTAATCATTCTTTCGTTATAAAAACTAACTACAAGTTACAACGAGTATATGTGATGTATATATAGGTATACCCATAGCGTATAGATCATTACGTCGAGCTATCGTAATTTAAACATTGTAATTTATAATCTTAAGAAGAACAAAAATCTATTGAATTATTTCGACCGATTTCTATTGTTTAAAAATGTCAGTGAACTATTGTTTTATACGTATACATTATTATGTATAAAATCACAGTTTTTGTATCCGCTTCGTGTTAGTTATGTGTTGGTATGCTTTATATATTATGTGCCTATAGGATATTATGTTAAAACTAAAACGGTTTAAAGTTATTTTTGTTGTTTCCGATTTCCCGACTGTGGTGGTTATATTTTCTTTCCAAATTAAGATTCGTCGTTTAAAGTCAATTATGACCTTATAACGCACATAAAAGCTGATTTAAAACGCTAATATAGTTTGTAGTATACCAGAAATAAAAAATTGCACCGAAAAATGTTCATGTCTTGCGAAATACTCGAGTGTATAACATTTATTTGGTATTCTCTGGTTTTTCAATACCTAATTCTAATCACAATATAAATTATTGTGAGTATACTCAGTAGTTGTGCGCGAAAATTCTTCAAGTAGATAATATGTAATGTACTTATAGCGGTGTCTCACACGATGGTAGGTATATATCATATTATACTCGTAATAATAAATCAGTAAATAGGTAATAATATTATTACGAATTATATAAGCCCGACTGCAATTGCACTGCTATAGGAATTAATTTTAAACTTGGGTTTCACGTGAATATAGCCTGAATAGGTATATAATATATACTTTAATAATAGAGATGTATACATATAAAATATACCAATGTATATATTATTATATAATAAGGTACAAGGGTATAAGCGCCCGCTTGTAATAGTTTAGCAATAAATGAGTATAATTACGATATGGTAATATTCTTAAACGTGATGCGATGAGATTATTCTGAATATAATATATTATGCTCTGTAGTAGGTACTATACGCTATTCGTTTCAAGGTTTTTCCATCCGATCCTATTGAAAATTGCATACCTTTTTTAGCTACTTATTTTGACTTTCCACGCTGTTTCGTATATCCCAAGGACGCGCGCGCACTCATAATGTATGTACACGCCATATAGATTTTTGTCAGATATAATACGTGTTTATAAAGCGCGCTCTTGAATTTTTTACGGAGTCGAGTTTATGATAGTATAGCGTATATAATATAGTGTTGCGTCCTTGATGAACTCAAATAAATTACAATTACGCGCGTTCGGTTGCAGAGCCTTTTTTATATATATATATATACGTTTACGTCGAAAAGCCAATAATCAGTAGGTAGGCAGGTATAGGTATAATATAATATTGTATGGTAAAACTAAACGTTGCAGCCTAGTTGCTTAAAAAAAAAAAAGAACCATACAATTGTTTTTGTGGTGGTTGGGCGGGTAGGTGGGTAGGTGCTTAGAATAATAATTGTATTTTTAGTTATCATGTAGATAGATCGAACCTACTTAAAAAATTCTCAAGATTCGTTTTCTAACTGTCTACAATGTAGACTCTACATAAATACAAAATATTGAGAAAAGTACATAAAAGTTCCGCTGTATATAGGTATATATCAGAGGTAGCCAATTTGTGGCTCGAATCTTATTTAGAAAAATCTAAATTTTAATTTTTTCGCATAGATTTATAGAAAAACTGTTTTTATTATATAGATATTATTAGCCTAATATAGAATACAGATTAGTAAACAAAAATATATAGTAAATATATATATGTTACGGGCAAAAGTCGAARTCGGGCAAACCTCAAAAATGCCCGCTCAAAACGCGAACTGCCCACAATCATTGGACAAAATGTCATATTTCAGCTTTTGACCGGGCAAACCTATATAGTTATATGACCAACCACATTTGGGCAAAACTGTATACTGATTTTTATCGTAAGGACAAAACCAATAAATAATCATAAATAATATAAAATATATAATTGAATACACTTAAATAATAATAAAAATATAATGATGTTATTAAGTTCTCGTATAAAAATTAACAAATAATAATATTAGGTACTCTTATAATGTTAAAATAAAGAATTAAAAAAATTAGTACA